TGGTTTCCAGGAGATAACTCCTTGTGCCAACCAGCTGGTGTTGGAAAATCAGGCCTGGAGACTGAGGAGAAATCTCAATTCAGGCTGAACTTGTACCCTGGGCAGAGTGGTGCCCCATCTACAGTTGATGCCACAGTAACAACGTGTCCTCAGGGCAGTTTGAGGAACTAAACCAAACCAAAGCAATCTTTAAAAAGGGAAATGGGGAAATTCAGCTTCACTGGCCCTGTAGGTGCAGGGTTGAATTTGGGGAAGAGGGAGTACAATGAGGCCATTTTCACTTCCCTGACATTTTGGACACTTCCCACTGGACTGGAAGAGAAATCTTTCTTCCTCTGAGTTTGTCCTCTGAACTCAAAGCTGTTGCATGAGCTTGGTGAGTGCCGAGGCTTTAGTCACTCCTGTTGTGGAGGCATTCATATTGATGAGGGGGTTGGATTTTATACTATTTCAAACAAATTACTGGCAAGATGAAAGGAAAATTTAATGGAAGTTGTTTGCAATTAATCCTGCCAAGTCAATTGTCTAAGGGCGAGTGAGGTTTGGGTTGAGACCATTTTAATTACTGATGTTTCCAGGTTTCTGCATGAGCTATGTAATTTTTTCCCCCCCACATTTCTTGCTTTCTTTAGCTCCATCTCTCTGATGAGGTACTGTATCTTTAACTGGGGGACAGGAGGATTATACCAAATGGACTTTCTCTCTCCACTGGGGTTTCATTCCTCTCTCCTTACACAAGGATTGGATCCCACTGTTGTGCCACCCCACTGAATGATGTGTTGAAGGTGAACACAGCCTCACACACTGACATTCGTGATGCTGGTGACAAAGCAAACCACTCCAACCACATTTGCCATCGCAGGCAGGATACTGAGGCTCATTCCAGCCAGGGCATAAAATGCTTCTTGCCATGTCTGTGTCACTTGGAAAGGGGATTTATCTTGAATGCGTGCTCATTTAGAAATATATTTTAATTGAAATGTTTAGTGCTTTATCTTACATACATGCTGTGCAATACCATAGTGTGTTCTTTCCCTTTTTTATTTTTTTTTCCTAAGACTTTTTTTGAAATTCTTAACGTTTGTTTGAGCTCCAGTGTGTTTCTGACTTGGATCAGTTCCTTGCCCTGAGCTAACCAGAAGAAGCAACGTTGTACAACCAAAAAAAAATCTTTGCAACTCGTGCACCCTGGTGTTCACCAGCAATCTGGAACCCTGGGAGGCAGGGAATGCTGCTCTCCAGAGTATCTCCTTTGCACTTACTGTAAGGAATTGATAGCAACCCAGGGAAATAGGAATAAAACAGAGAGGAGAGCCCTCACTGCTCCCACCAAACTCCTCAGGCATTTTGCCATCACCTTTCAGAGGAACAGGCCTTAAAAATCAGGTGCTGGTGAGGTTTGGGGGGGCAGAGCTCGTGGCTCCCCAAGGGATTTCTGGGCACTGGGCTCTGGGCTGGGCTCACTGCCATGAACTGTTGTGATGGAGCACCCTGAGCACTGTGCCAAAGGCTTCCAAAAGACAATCAGCTTCTGGAATTACTTCTCAATGCAATCATTGCAAATCCATCCTCCTCCACATTTACAGCTTCTGCCTCGCTCAAGATGACATTCCACTGGGGGTTTGGGGGGTTAAACTCCTCACAGTCTCTGTGATGTCTTGGTTCCCTGTGAAACCAAGGGTTCAAAGGTGCTATAGTTGTTCAGAAAAGCACATTCCCATCCACAGAAGGAAATGGTAACTTTTTCACTAGTTATTTTCCACAGTAGCTTTTTTATTTATATCGGTGTGTTTCGTATGTGTGCAAATGGTCCTGGCTTCTCTCGTGGGGATCAGCTTTACAACCATTTGGTCTTTTACAGGGCAGCCATGCACAGTATCTTGCAATCATGGGTAATTTCTTAACTTAGAGCAAGAATAAATCTCGTCTGACAGGATGAACTCATTTATGGCAGGCTTTAATGTTTGTTGTAAACACAACCTGTTTTTGTTCCACCTCTTGCATGGTTACTTTATCTGTTTTCATATTGCTATGTTATTGTTCAAAATATCTATTTCTCTTTATTTGCTATGGGGTTTGTTACTGTATATGGAATGTTTTGTATTCAGCATTTTCTTTTGGAGCAGAGTGGGAACAGTATTCAAGGACCCACAAATACCAAAGACCTTTCATGTAATGCACTGAGAAATAAACTTACTGTAAATGAATATCGTGTCAGGTGTCCTCTATCTGCAAAGCTCAGGGCAAGTTCAAGCAAACTGCAGCCTGAAGTCAGGGCAGCTGCTGTTCCTTCCTGCCAGCTCAGCTTTCTCTGGTTGTTTGCTTGCAGATCTCCTAAAAAACAAGATGTGCACGAAGGCCCTGCTTCTGCTCACCATCCATGGGGTGGAGGGGGCAAAAAGGGCCCAGTTTCCCTGCCCTCAGTGGGACTGACTCCCCTGAGGTGTCTGCTGTGCTGCTCCAGGGGGGCTGAGATCAATCTCCAGGACACACTTCATCACCCCTCTGCATTCCCAGCCCCACCAACCCAACACAGGGGCACATCTGCCCTCCTGGGGAGCTGTTCAGTTCCTGAACTAAAGACAGCCCAGGTGAGCCTTCAGGTAATGTCACCTTTGAGCATCTTGCTTTGCACTGCAGAGCGAGGCCCTGCCTGGACCTGGCAGATGCTTCCTGTGGGAACAGCCCTCCTGTTCCTGCAGGAGTTTTCTGTCAGGACGGATCTGGGCTCACAGCTCTGCCTCTCCTGAGAGAGGGCACTCAGAGGACAGGGTGGTGCAGCAGAGGAACAAGGCAGAGAGGGAATTCTGCGGTGCTTAACAGCATGAATTGAGCCCTGTTGGTCTTTGTAACGTGCCTCACTTCCTCAGGAGTTTCCTCGCAGTTCAAGAAGTGGAGTTGGCTCAGCTGAGACAGCGAGGGCTGCCCAAGCCCCCTCCCTGAAATCCCCTGGTACCTCCTGGGTGTTTCCCTCCTCTGTGTGTTCTCTGAATGTGCCTCGGGGTTTGTGGAGACCCCAGAGCCCTCATCTCTTGTGACAATTCAGACTGTCAGAGGAGGATGTGGGTGGGGACCTGTTTACCCTTCCTACACTGGGAACAATCCCGTTTGGATGCAACACCCTCTGTTTGCAAAGGGAGGCTCTCCCCTCTGTAGGAGAGGACCTGGGTTGTTTCTGTCACAGATGTGCCACTGCTGGTTTCTGAACTTGTTTTTCACATCCCAACAAAAACAGGAGATATGGAAATCCCAGCCAGTTTTTCCCCCACTGATCAGATTGCACTCAGATATGCAGATACCAACAGTGCAGCAAAGGCTAAGCCTTGTAAACACTGAGAAATGCCCACAGAGTCAAGGCCTCAGCCTCACACAGCTCTTTGCATCACTGATGAGGACATCCTCAAGGTTACTTGATGCCAAACATTCCCATGCAGCACTTCTCTGGGTCTCTCAGGGCGTATTTATCTTGGTTTTTGAGTCCTAACACCTCCAGCTCCGATATATTTATCCTTGCAAAAAGTCCTCTGAGGGAAGGCAGTTCTGTTAATCACCACTGTACAGATCGGGAGTTGCTGGATAAAAGGCTAAATTAATTTCTTGGGACACTTGTGGCTGTGCTGGTCTGCCAGGCACCAAATTAGCATCAGGCCCATGTTGGTCTCTGGGCCATTATGGCCACTGATTGTAATCACAGCAAGGGGAACTGACTCCTCCTAACACTTAATGCAGCTCAAGAAAATCAATGGCAGAGGGGAACAGGCTGAACTTGTAGCAGGAGCTGATTAAAAGAAAACTATTTATTCACAAACAAAACACAGCTACTCTTGGAGTTCTCTGCCTTAACTCTTCATTAACCACGTTCTCAGCAGCAGGTCGCTCCACACCTCACTTTTTACAGGCAGACAAGCACGAATGCCTCGGTAAGAATGGCCCCAACCACTCACACAGTTGGAATTGCTGCCTCATTTCAGCCTGGGGGTGGGGAAATCAGTGAGCCTGAAACGGGAACAAACCCACCCTAAACTTCCCAGGCAACACCATGGCCAGAAAAGCAACTTTAGACTACACTGTATAAAGGAAATGTAATCAGGGAGATTGTATTTCCCTATTTACCATTGTTACCTCTCTAAGAGCAGCTCACCAAAAATGGTGATGTGTTGGTTCAAATATGGATCAAAAAATATCTGACTGCTCCAGACTTAAGGACATTTTGCTTGGCATCAAAGAGAGAACAGGACAGGTCTTCCACTCCACATCCCACTTTTAGGACAGACTCAAGCACCCTTGGATAAAGCTGATCCCATTTTTTTTAATCCAGTGGCAAACTAAACAACACACCTCTCTGGCTGAGCAAGGAAAGGTGTATCAGCCACAGGCTGGCAGAGAAAACACAGCAGGGCCCTCTTGTACTGATGATGAGGAGGAGCTCCTGTAATATTTCACCAAAAGATGTGGTAGAGCTTTTACTCCTGGACAGTTTTCTCGTTTTCTCCTCCTATATCCACATGAAGGGGTGTGTATTCCAACTCAGAGCAGCACCCACCCAGGGGAGCCACACCAGATCCTCAGCCTGGGACACTCAGTGACCACAAAGCCTCTGCCCCTGCCTGTGCTGGGCATGACCCAGCTCAGCCCTGGAGAGGTCTGAGCTCTGCAGCCCCTCCACAAATCACCAAGGTCTTTGGAGCTTCACACCAAGCCCTGGCTGCCCTGACTCCTCCAGCCTTTGTGCAGCTCCCAGGGGCCACGGCTGACAGGCCAGCTGTGGGAAAGGGCTGTCCAGATTTCAGCCTGGAGACTGGCCATGTACCAAGGCAACCCAGAGCTGCCCTGCTGATCATGGGCTACTGGGGGAGAAGGGAAAAGCTGAGCCAGAGGGTCCAGGATGGGCCTGTGGCAGCTCTGTGGGACTGGGCCAAGGAAAACCTGATTTATGTGTAACTGGATGGGGTTAATGTTCAGCCAGGACCGTTCCATGACAGCTAAACTTTAGACTTGGTTCAGAAAACACACTGTCTGAGAGCTCAGCAGTGCACAGCAGGATCCATCAGCCACCTTCAATCTCAGAAACATCTTCAGAAACATCTTCAGAAATGGATGGGACCTGGGTCTACCTGGTGACAGGAGGATGTGGCTTTATTGGGGAGAAGATCGTAGAGCTCCTGTCTCAACAAGACTACATCAAAGAAGTCAGAGTTTTTGACTCAGTAGTGAAAGGAGAAGTAGAAAATCTCACCACAGGTAAGAAAAGAGCATCAGCATCTATTTGGTGGCCAGAACCCTTCCTTTCATGGCAGATGGAATAATGCTGGAGATGCCACAGTTACAGGCATGGGGTTAAACAGACTGGATGAAGAACAACTTCCAGCTCTGAAAGGTTTTTCAGCACAGGACTAAATCAAAGCAAAAAAAGATCCATAGGCTGTACCCTCCAGAGATATCACAGGAGGATCTAAGGCCCCACACAGGGATCAGCTGTGAGGAGCAATGTGCACACTGAGTACGTGACAGGGGACCTTGGCTGCACAGTTGCTTCTGCTCAACCAGTCTGACTGACAGCAAAGGGACACAAAAACATCCTCCTGAACTGCTCCAACCAGTCACCAAGTCTGAAAAATAAAAGTCCTGACAGTAATGGAATAGAAACTCAGCACCTGCTGCAGGTATTGTGAAATAAATTATGGAAATAACTGGGAGAAACCCACAGCAGCCCTACTGTGCATGTGAAGGAAGAGGTGAGTCTCAGTAAACACTCTCAGAGATACTAAATTAATCCATTTGATCATACTCTGAGAGCTGCCTTCATTCAGGGTTGAGTACAGCGAGATATGTTGGGGAAAAACAACCTGTTTTACTGGATTCAGGAAGACCCAGGCAAAACAAGCCAAGGCAGCTCGGGTAAGGTGGGCTGGGAATCCTCTGACTGCCCAAACCTTCAGCCTACTCTGAGAGGGGCAGGAGTGATCAGGGAGATCCCATCTGTGGGGAGATATCAGTAGGAGACACACTTGGAGCAAGTTAAGGCTCCCAGGGAAATATCACTATCAGAAACCCTCCCTGGCACATGAACTCAGCAGACTGGTTTCCCCAGGTTTCAGGGAGCCAATTGCCTTAAAAGCACCCCTAACTGAAGGAAAAGCTGTTTAAACCTTGGGGAGGTGCCAAAATGCAGGCTCCAGGAGAGGTCTATGGCCTGACACCACAGCAAACAAGGCAGGAGCAGCCTGAGGGGCCACCCCAACCCCATCCCTCTGCCCCAAGGCAGAGCAGCTCTGCCACAACCTTCCCCCCGAGGTGTTTGTCTGTCCTGTCCTGTCCCCAGGCAGCCCATTTATCTCTGCACCACCAGCTCACTGCTGTGGGTACACTCTGCTCTGCACTTGGAGTCCTCCATTTCTCATCCACCCTGAGAATAGGTGTTACACTTTTACTGTAATCTTTTTACAACAATCTTCATCCCCTAAAAACCACCTCCTTCCACTCCATACTGGTTTCTCCTTTCAGCTAAATGGTGCACTCACTCCTTCCTCCTCCACTCCCTCAGTGCCTCAGGTGTTGCTCCCTTCTGGAAGAGGGCACTGAGACCAGTTGTGGCCTTCCCCCTGCTGTGTGAAGCTGATGGATTTGTGCCTTCCATCCTGGAATACCTCCTGCTGCTTTACCTGTCACTACAACATTCCCTTTTTCCCAGCCACAGGACCTGCCAACAGGCACAGCCCCTGAGCTGCCCTGGCCCAGATGAATCCTTTCATGAAGACCTGCTGCCTCTTCCCTGCTCAGCCCAACAGCTTCTTTTGTTCCTATCAAATTTCCCCCTTTTTTTTTTTGTTTTTCCCAGCCTCTCTGAGTTACACTCAGCTCATTCCCTAATCCCTGTCTGATGTTATCTGCTGATTTAATGAACAAATCTGCCAGATTCTTGAGGAAAACAATAAAAAGAGACTCAAACACAGCACTAAGCCCTGGAGAGCCCCAGGGCAGGCACCTACCACAGCTGGCAATTCCCTGGGAACTGTGATCCCACCGGCTTTGTGCTCTCCCTAATGGGGCTCATTTAGTCCATGTTTTACTGACTCGCTCAGGAGAATGACGCAGAGTTTCCAAAGCCCTCCTAAAAATCAAGATAGATGGCACCAACCTGTTCCACAATATCCCTGCAGCCTGTTACCTTGTCATGAGAACAAAGGAGGTTTATCTGACTTGATTTGTTCTTGACAAATCCTTGTCAGCTCCTTCTGTTCTCCTGATTATCCCACAGGTGCTCACACACATGTGTCGTCTCAGTGTGTGCTCCTGAATTTCCTGGGGTTGAAATCAAAATGTTCTGTAATTTCCCGGCTCCTCTTCACCTCCTTTCTAAGCACAGGTGTTTCATTTGCTCTTCTGCAGCTTCCCAGTGCCTTCAAAAGTTCTCCAAAGTAGCTGATGATGCAATAGGGCTGCAGTTGCACCCATCACCTCTTCACAGCTCTGGATAGATAAATGATGTAAAAAAGTCTGTTTAACACTTCAACCTGATGGGTTCCAGGCTTTTCCAAATCATAGAGTAGCAGAAAAACTCCCCCAAAGTGTCTGCTGACACCCTGATCCAGCTTTCAGCAGGAGCATCCTCCTCTGCACTCTGGACCTCTGGGCAAGTGTTTTACCTCTGCTACATGGACAACTCCATTCTTTTTCCCCTCTATTCTCACTGCAGTAAATCTGTGCTTTAATACTAAATTAATGTTAATATTAATATTCAGTATTAATCAATATTGTTTAGTATTAATACTCCTAAGAGTGAGTCCACCAAATCTTGGCTATGTTAATTAAAAAAGCAGCCTGACCCTTTTGTCAAATTCCAGCCTCCTCCCTCCTCCATCCCACACTGCTCAGAAAACATTCAGAGCTGCTGTGTTGGATTCTGTCCCTCCCTTTGCTTCATGAGGAGGGACAGTTCTCTTCCCACCTCGTCCTGGCAGTTCCTCACTGGGGGTTTCCATCTCACCACACTTCCACAGCTGGAGCCACAGACCCTTCCCTGAGCTGCTCACGAGTAGGATCCCTCCGAAATCCCTGCCCTGATCCCGGGATGCACTGGGCTCTCCAGCCAGCCACCAGCACAGGGCAGAGGAGACCTCTCCTTCCCAAAGCAATCCTGTGACTGCCTTATTGCAAATCCCCAGGGAGTGTGGCCTCCTAACCCCAGCTCCTTGCTGGCCTGTTCCCAACTACACCAAAGGAAAAAAGGGAAAAATCCTACTGAAACGGTGCAACACTGTCTCAAAGCCAGAAAATGAGTAGTAGATGCCAAGAGTAGCCATGTATGGAACAGCTATTTTTAGGAAGAAGGAGGGGGAGAAAGGAGATAGGGGAAAAATTCCTTCTGAGTGGCTCAAAGAGAGGAATTTCCTACGAAACTTTTAAAACCTGCTACGTTATTTTCCCTTCCCATCTACAGTGTTTGCAGTTTAAATAAAAGCTCTGTACAACGTCCCTTGAACTGCCCTGGTGTTATTCCCAGCAAGCCCTAAAAGTCCTCTGGTTGAAGGCAAGTGTCCAGCACAGCTTCCCCAGTCCCCACGGGCTGGAGCAGCCCTGTGACCAGCTGCACTCTGGGCCAAGTGTCTCCTGCCCTCAGCACTGTCCTGGGACGCAGATCGGGGATTTGCAATGGCAGGCACAGCTATCCTGGCCCCCTGCTCGTGCTGAATCAACCCAGATGCAGATCTGGCTCCTCGGGGCTGGGAAATAGGGATGGATTTCCCCCTGTTGTGATGGGATCAAACGGTACAGTCATGGCTGGAGATGGCTCTGCCTCGCCAGCAAAGCTTTCCATGCAGGATCCTCACTCTGCAGGAGGGTCAGGGTGTTGATTTGTACTTTTTTTTATCCCTCCCCCTTGCATCTCTGGCTCTGTTATCTTCCTGCAGGCACCACTCGTGTGACAGTGGTGAAAGGCGACGTTCGGGACTACGGGGAGCTCGAGGCTGCCCTGCGGGGCGTGCACGTGGTGATCCACACGGCTGCCCTGGTGGACTACAGAGGCACGGTGCCCTTCTGGGAAATGAGAGCTGTCAACGTGGGGGGTGAGATCTGGAAAGCAAGGCATTAAGCACAGCCTTCCTCACACCCCTTGGCACGGGCACACGAGGGGCGATGGCAAACCCCCCCTCGGGTTCTGCGCTCCCCGTGGGTTCTGTCCCTGCTTTAGTTCGTGAGGAGTCACCTCGACCTCTTCTCACTTGGTCCTGGTGGTTCCTCACCGAAGGTTTCTGTGTCACAACACTTCCACAGCTGGGGCCACAGACCCTTCCCTGAGCTGCTCACGTGTAGGATCCCTCAGAAATCCCTGCCCTGAATTCCACACACCCCACTCTGCTACGAGATGGGAAAGGTGCCCAAGACCTTTTTTTCCCAGTGGGGAAGTCTCTGCCTTTGCTCCTCTGTCCTTGCTCAGGGCAGGTCATGCTGCTCCTCAGCTCAAAACATCAGCTCTGGGCTCAGTTCTTATACAGCTGTTCTAGTGCAGGGTATAACTTTCCCTAAGAAGTGATTGTTCTTCCCACATGCCCACAGTGGTGAGAAATAGTGTGTGACAAGGACAACAACTAAAAGTTAACCCCTGTTTCGGGATCTTCCAAAGGACAAAAAAAAAACAAACTCCATATATACCAGCACAAGGCTGTAACCCATTAAACTGCACCCACTAGAAGGGAGGGATGTTATTTTAATTACAGAGTTCCCAACTGTCATGTATCTACAAGTCACTGAGAGCTCCACACCTCGTCCTTCCGACCACCAAGAACAGATCTTGTGTTCGGTGCAAGATCTGCTTAAAGAAAATTTGCTCATAAATCCAGGAAATAAGCACAGGCTATAAAAATAATGAAATCCCTATTACAGCAGCAATTCCAGGGGCACCTCAGGCTGTTAGCTACTAAAACAGTCGTTAACCAAAGGGAAGGGATTTAATTTCCTTTTTTTATATGTATATCTCAAACTCGGTTACTGCTGAGGGCTTCTACTGTTTGCTGATTACATTCAAGGGTAACATCTAAATTCTTCTCGTTGTTGTTTTCAAAACCAGATGCTTTTAAGAGCCTGTGCTGTGCTCTGTGTGCGCTGAGAATATTCAGAGCCTGAGGCTTCCCACTGCCTTGTAATGGCTTTGTGAGACCTTCCTCTTCACTGTGCGTGCTGTGAGCCAGGCACTTCAGCCCAGGGAGGTTTTGAGAGGGCAGTGAACACGGGGCAACTCCCCTCTCCAGCAAACCCAACCTCTTCCAGACGTCTGTGACATTCCCAGCAAACCACATAGGCAAAGATTTTCCAGTGTGACCGAGCGTGTCTCAGGGGCACAGTTTGGGATGGCTTAGCAGGAGCCTGTCCTGCATTTCTGCCTCCCCTCGGATGGCTCCTCATAGACCTCCCTAAAACAGACCTGCTGCTCTCACTAGGACTTCTCCAAATCCCAAAGTGAGAGAGCAGTCTAAGGTTTTCTGTTAAAATCCTAGCAGATAAAAGAATAAAAATGGTATTTGATACCTGCTGCAGACTTCATGGAAAAAAAATAGGGTCAGAGCAGGTCAAGTGTATAATCCTCTAGCTGGCTCCTCTGCGCAGCTCAGGCCACAGAATTTCATCCAATTATTGCCTTAAGCCCAACAATTTGTGGCTAAATTGGACCAATCCTTTCCAAAAGACTTGTTGCCTCCAATTAAGGGTGCAAGTTAATGGGCTATCTATCATGTCTTTCAGCAAGCCATAACAATGCTGAGGAGTGGTGGTGTGGCTGTGGTTAATTCCCATTTCTGGCCAAAATTTACATCTTCTGCTTTGATTCTCCCCTCTGTTTCAACCACTGGCTGCCGAATCCTGTTACAGCCTTGTTGACTAGATTGAAGAATTCTCTTCAACAAGAATTATTTTTTTTTTCCATCTAGTCACTTAAAGACTTTTTAATCTGCTTTTTGTTAAGCTGAATGGATTTTAACTCAGCTGTTTCCAGTGACGTTTCTCAGCAGGGGTTCTCAGTTAACTTTACATATTGTGATAGGCTCATGGAGAAGTACATTGATTCTTTTCCACCAGCACTTCACACGGATTCACACCCTCTAAAATTATCCTAAACTCAGGATTTGCCTGGTAATTTCAGATTATGCCTTTCACAACAAAGAGAACAGAAATCACAAGCCCTCCCACCCAAGATCTGCAGGGAGGCTCAGGGGCAGAGTCTGATTAGCCAAGTATAAATAGTGTGGAGGCTTCTGGAAACCAACCCTACGAGCTGCTGCCTTTAAGATCTGCCTTATCAGATTTGAAGGCCCTCAGAATGCAGCCATGGTTATGCTGTTGTCACTGAGATTCTAACAGACCAGCTTGAATCAAAATCACAGTGAATGCAAAAACCCACCCCTGGAAGAGTCATCTGAACCCACAAAACACCCCAAACCAATCAAATTAAAGCCACACACAATGAAACCCCATGTTCAGCCAGACCAACTTCCCTTAAACCAAACCATGCTTTGGATTCAGCTGTTTTTCATGTGGACTTGTGGGCTACCCCTACTATCTTATTTAAAATTCTGCAGGTTTCAAGGGTCTGCTGCAATGGTTTCACCCTGTAGCACCCTGCAGGGCTTCTATGGAGCCACATAAAACACTAATCATATAAATAAATATAAAATAAATGCAACTAAAACACTGATCCTTTTGCCAGAAGGCTGCAATTCATCCAGCAGTCTGTCCACAGATCAAAACAAGGCTGAAAAACATAGAGTTTTGCTCTGCCAAGCTGTCAGCTTCCTTTTTGTTAGCAACTAGAAGGTCCAGGTTAAGTCAGTGGCCAGTGGCCACAGAGGTTAAGCCACATTAAAGCTGTAGATGGAACTGCTACTCTCATGTTTTAAACCATCCATTCCCATGCAAACACACCTGAGGAACTGCAGCCCTGACCTGTGGCTTTGCATCTTTTCAGCCATAACAAAGCTGGACCTGTTCCAAGTCAGCGTCCCAGAAATCTCAGAAACCTCTTTTGAGTAGCAGAGAGAAATCAAGCCAAGGGGGTTGATTTTTGTCCTCCCTGAACAACAAGGAATCAAGGCAAGGTGCTTGATGTTTGTCCTTCCCAACCTGCCCCACAGGTACTGAGAACGTGCTGAGGGCCTGCCGTGTCCTGAGCGTTCCATACGTTGTCCACACGAGCTCCGTCGCTGCGGTGGGACCCAACACCTCGTGTGAGCCCATGCTCAGGTGAGGAAAAGCAAATCTTCTCCATCCCCCTGCACTTCCAGCCAAACAGCAATGAAACTGCGACCAGATGGGGAATTTTAGCTGTGCTACAAAGAAGATGGGTGTTCCCCATCCCATCTACTCTGAGGTTCCCTTCCTTGGAAATCCTTCCTTGCCGCTCCCTGCTGTTACCAACACCTTCTCCCTCCTCTTCCCAGCTCCTCAGGGAATTGTTAACCAGCCTGTACCCATCTCCTGCTATCAAAGGGGGGCAAATCTCACGTAGCACTAACTCAGAAGAAAATAATTCAGCCACACGGTCTCAGGGGAACAGATGTGTTGGTGGGAAGGTTCCCTGCAGCATTCAGGTGCAGTGACACCCTTCTGTTACCTGAATCTGACCTGTAAATTGTGCCCTCCTATCCCTTCAAAGTCCTTTTTCCTGGCAACCAGCTCATGAGGGCTAATTCCTGGACTCCTGGATGCCACTGCTTTGGGTCCCTGTGCTCAACCCCTCTCCTCTGGGTGTGGCTCCCATGAGACTGACCTACAGGCCCAGAAGAAGCAGCAGAGCTTCAGAAAAACCCTCTGTGGCAAAGGTGGGATTTGCAGCAATACAAAGACACTGGTCAAAATTACAATTCCGAGGTTTTTTTTTTTTTCTGCTTTTAGGTCTTTGATCTCCAGACCTGACTGTCACAATCAGCTGCCACCCCTGCTCAGGGCTCAGCACTGGGATACCTTTGGTGGTCCTGGGTCAGCAGCACCTGCACATTGACAACAGGGCTGGTATTTCTGAAGACCAGGAAAAGCAAATCTTTTTTTTTTTTAGGTTAAATTTGAGGGCAAGTAGAGATATCTGCAGTCTGATATGTACTACTGGAAGGGCCCTTGGTGGTTCCAAGGATGGCTGTAGCCACGCAGGCCACGCTCAAACCATGGAAACTTGTGTGAAAGGGGAACTGGCTCTAAGTCAGGGCTTTTTCTCTGCAGGCAGCCAGGCTGGACACAGCTGGGCTTAGTCACTTGCTCTAGAAATCTGAGCCCAGCTAGAAAAGGCTGCTTAAGACATAACTTAAAATGACCTACAAGCCTAAATTTCATCCTCACAAGTAAGCTGTGGCATAACCCAGTTGTTTTGAAAAGTGTTTAAGTACCCAAATCTGTAGAATAAATGTCTGGCTTATGAAAAAACAAACAAACAAACAAACAAACAAACAAACATGAGAGCAACAAACCACTTGGGACCACAAGCCCTAGAGACTCTGTGTCACTGCAAAGCTATGGAATTTGTTCATTAGCATATCCAGGTCACTTCGAAAAATGAGTGTAGATACAGGCACATCCTCATCAGTATTTTAGTCCTAGGACTTAAGAGCTAGATGTGAATAGATGTCTTGAAAAAATCAACCCCAGATCTTGCCTGAGAGCAGAGTCCTTTGGCTCCTCATGATGGCACCATTGGGGGCAGGCAAAGCCCACCTGGGCTGATGCTGCTGGAGTTACAGACATCCTCTGCCCACCACAGCCCAGTCCTTCCCCACCACAGATGCAAATAAAAGCACATCTGGAGCCTCTGAGTCACTCGGCAGAACACACTCAGGGTCTCCCATTGAGCTGGCAGGAAGCTCAAGAGGGTGGTCTTCCCTCTCTGGTGATTTTGATTCTAAACTAAGGGAATTACACAGTGAGAGAAGGGTCAACCCCCTCAGCCAAAACTTACACCCTCTGCCTCAACAGGGAGCCCAGGGGTGGCTGGAAGGCAGTGAAATATCACCCTGTTTTCCACTCTGAAAGCATCTTTCCCCTTCCTCCTCTTCCCATCTCCCCCATCCCCACCCAACCTGTTCCACCCTCTCCCTCACAGTCCACGATCCCGCCTGCCTTTCCCCCTTTTTTTTTTTCTCTGTCCCCCTTCTCCATCATTCCTCCTATAATTTATTTAACTCCCTTTTCCGTGCTCGGGAGTTGACACAGACAAAGCACGACGAGCCTGTGGCCGGGGTGATGGGTGCGGGGATAATGCTCACACCTCAGCATCCGACAATAATAGAAAATGCCTCTGTCAGTCTCGATCCCCCCCGAGACAGGCACGGCTGAGATCCCTTCTGACAACGCTGCTCCGCTCTGATTAGCGTTCCGTTATCTCTGATCGTTTCGAAAAGCCGGAGCATTATGCTGAGCTCTTTGTTACTCCCGAGCTTCAGAGGGGAGGGGGAGGGCACACGAGTGGAGCGCCGCAGCCCGGGAACAGCAGGTTTGGTTCGCCCCTTTTGTGGAGCTGCTGCTTTTTTAAAAGCTTTGCAAGGCGAGGGGGAAAAAAAAATTGGATTGAAAAAAAAAGAGAAAGCAATTAAAACTAGAACTTCTAAATACACCCCTCCCTCCCCAATTGTCTTGGGCCTCTCCCGGGCTTGCAACAAACCTTGCTCAATCCATCTTTTGTCTTGCTTGTTTTTCGGTTTGTCTCTTGCTCATCACCTGAAAACACGGGGAAAGGGAGGAGGGGTTTGTGATAAAAGCCCGGGGTGTGCGAGGAGGCTCCATCTCTGACTCTCCTCATTTATTTCTGTTGCTGCAGCACAGGAAGCCCCTGATCTCAGCTGGGATATCTGGCACACAACACACTGCTGAACAGGCAGGAGCAAGGCAACAGCATCACCCACGTTTCCCACGTGGAGATCTGAGCAGGGAAAAGGGAAAGCATGTTGCCCAAGGTCAGACAGGGAGCCTGAGTGAGAGCTGGCCCTCCCGGGGCCCTGTGTGTGACAGAAACACCTCTGGTGCAGATCTGCTGTGCCAACTCCACACAGGCCACTTAACCCTTCCAAGAGGCGCATCCAAGCCCCATCTGCCAAAGGAGCAGGATAATTCCTCACTGCCCTGCATGGGGTGCCCCATGCCTGGCAGAGTCCAGGGCTTGCCTGCAGTGGATTTCTCTTGGAGAGCAAAATATAGAGTAAATTAATTTTAAAGACCTGAAGAAAGTCTCCTGCAGCACACAGAGGGAGAGGGAGCTGATCCATGCTAGTCATGGCAGCAGGGGAGCAGCTGCCCACTGGTATTCATGGATGGGCCCCCCAATGCTTCAAACAAGGTTTCTTCACTCCCCAGCTCCTCCAGAGCCCTCTGGATTTGCTTAACCAAGTCCAAATCAGCGAAGAACTAATCTGATCTAGAGCCACTGGGACAAAACACCTGCACCCTGGTGAGGAACAGAGCTTGTTTCTCCTTGGAATTATTTCAGGCCCTGAGAGGCCAGTGACACTTTAGATCCCATGGGTTTCCCCTCTGCAGCTGTGAGGGAGGAGGCTGGGGAGCAGGTTGTCTTCCACAGCCACAACCCAGTGTCCCCAGCATGGCTGGAGCCCTGCTTGTCCTTAATTGTGGGTCATTGCTTTGCCTTCCCCTCAAACTTAATTTGTTAGGGGAGATGAAGGAACAATCCCAGCACAAACCTGCTGATTGCAAGTCTTTCAGGTCACCAGCAGCCCTATCACATCCCCAGCAAATGCCTCCCAACTTTAATCAACTCTGTGAGAAAATTAAGCAGTAGCTTCTCCTTTTAGTTTATGGCTCACAAGAGGCTTTTCTCTGCCTCTAATGAAAAAATGAAGTAGGATTGCTCTCATTTTTCCTGCCTTCCATCTTCCTGTGCTCTTTTCACCTTGTTCAGCTTCTGCGAGTGGCTAAACAATGTAACTCCACTGCCTCCTAATTGGCCCGCTGGGATATTATTTGCTTCCATCGCACTCTTGGACAAAACCAAATGCAGCTCTCAGAAACCAAACCACTGCCCTCTGCAAACCTGGACGTGAACACCACGAACCACCTGGTGTTTCTTGGGGCCTTGTTTCTCCCAGACTGCAGCAGGGACCTCAGATTCCCACAACTCCCTGGGGAGCAGAGGAAATCCTGCTGTGACAGACCCCTCCAGACCCTGTGGTCACTCACTGTCTATCCCAATCTGTTCCAGAGGGAATGAGGACACTGAGTACAGTGGGGAAGTGGAGCTGCCTTATGGGAAGACAAAAGCCATGGCAGAAAAACTCGTACTTGAAGCCAATGGAAAAAAGGTACCGAATCCAATGGAATTCCAGCACCTCTGAAATTACAGCACAGCATGGGGGAAAGGAGGGAGTTGGTAAAAAAGACCCCACAGCTCCTGTCTGAGTGTGTATCCAACTGCTGCCTTGACTTGACGCACAAACCACGATGTCCCAAGCTTCCCAAAGCCCAGTATTCCCACATCAGCAGGAAGCTGCCAAACTCTGGCAGGATCAAAGGATGTTTCCCTTTCAGCCCGTGCTTTAGCTCCAGCAGGAGTGTGACTTTGGAAAGAGCTGTGCTAAACCAGGGCTGAAGAAACCAGGTTCCCCTAGTTCATACTGCATGAAAGTATAATTTCCAGGCATGTCTGAGTGACCTCAGAATCAAAAATACTGGTGTACCCAGAGTCAGCCCCCTACCTAACACAGCTGGCCAGTCTTTGAGAGTGCCAGTGCAGTCAGCAGGCAGATGAGTTCTTCCAGGGAGCAAAGCAGAATGTAAAATGAGACCTGGGTCCTAAATCACTGCCTAGAGCATCTCCCTTCCTGTTACAGTTTGAGGCCTCTCAGCCTGGTTGGTTTCCTCTGGTACCTGATTTTAGCTGTTGCAAAAACTCATTTATACATCACAACTGCAGAAGAGTTCCTGCCACCAGCACCCTCCATCCAGCCCCTCTCAGGGAGTACGTGGGTGCAGGTGAGCTATGAAAAATAAATAGAATCAAACCAGGCACCTCCTTGCATTTTTAGGCACCCAAACCACGTCCCAAATATCCAGAGCACTTCCACAAACATCAGCCAATATTCCCAGGTTTCGGGTTTCTCTGGTAAACCCTCTGTGGAGGAATTTCCTCCCTGAGTGCACCCCTCACTGACATCCCTCCCTGATCTTCCAGCTGAGCTGTGGTGGTGAACTCACCACGTGCGTCATCCGTGCAAACACCGTGTATGGGGAGAAGGCCACGTTTCTGCAGGAGCTCTACTGGGGGGCCAAGGCCAGGGGTGGTGTCCTGAACTACCTGGAGCCAGAGGACTCGGAGGGGAACCACACCTACGTGGGTGAGGGGCTGGGCTCTTGGCCTGCTTTAGTCACACATCACCTTAACCATAATCTTCCAAGACAGAGAGATGAATGTGGGGAAGGAGCACAAATGTTCTTATGACCACAAAACTTAGACTGGCTAAAGAATTTTTCAGGCAGCTGCTTTTGCTACAACTGTTTTCTGAAGGGTTGTCTTTCTTTTTTTTCCCTTGGTAAATGTTTTAGGGGATATATGGGGGGGCGGAGAGAGAAACTCAGGTAATATTACCAGAACTATGACAATTTTCAAAATGTTTTTGCTTTGAAAAGATGCTTAATTTCTTCTTCATTAGAAGAAATCATCCTACCACCACTTGTCAAATTCCTTACAGAAAGGCCTGTGGTACATAAATGATTTTAGCAAGCACGAGGAACTGCTCACAAAGCCTACAGGAAGAGTTTGTCCTGGTGCTGAATGCCTTTCACGGGAGTACAACTCACCATTAAATCAGGCAGGGCTTCAGTCATTTCCGTGCAGCACCCTCAGATGTCTTATTCCAAAAGTGCAGATAACAGTATTTTGGAAATGCTTTCAGGGAAGAATCAGGCCCAGATAAATCAAGTGACTTCTTCAAAGGCTCACAGCAGAGCCAGGAATAAAACCCTCGAGCACTGCCTCCCATTCATCCTCCTCTCACTACAAAACACTGCCCTTTCCCTTCACATGAACCAGGATCACGAGGCACATTAATTGTCCAGCTCAAAGGGGAGACCAAAGGTTTAAAGGATCTTGGAGGCCTGGATTAACTCCTCAGTCTCTCTACAATGCAGCCGAGCACCCCACGAGTGCTTCCCTGCTTCCCAGCACTGAAGCTGGCAGATCCAATGGACTCATTCTGCAGTAAACAGGGAACTTTAGCTCCTCCTGAATATCTGTTTCTCTTCCTCCTCTTCTTTCCCCAGGGAACGTTGCATGGATGCACGTCCTTGCAGCAAGGAACCTGCAGCTGAAACCAGGCTTACTGGCAGGACAAGTGTACTACTGCTATGATGACACTCCAACCAGGAAGGGTTTCCTGGTCAGGCACCAGCTGCTGTCCACTGCAGACCCCTCGGTGAGACTGGGCTCACACATCCCCTACTGGAAGATGTGGTTAATGATACAACTGCACAGGATAATCAGGGCCATCTTGTTGCCCTTCTGGGAGCCACAGCCCTTCCTGAACCTGCCCTTGCTGAACACAATCGTCACCACTTTCTCCTACGAGACAGACAAAGCCTCCAGGCATTTTGGGTACAGACCCCTGTTCACCTGGGACCAGAGCAGGCTCAGAACTGCCCAGTGGCTGAAAGAAGCTGTGGGGAACCTGCAACACCCCAAGTTTCACGGGAAGAAGAACTGAACACCACTTGTGGGGGGAGGAGACCACTTGTCACGCCAAGAGGTTCCAATCCCAGCTTCACAGCACACACAGATCTCTGGCAGGACCTTTGCAAACACAGAAATGCTGGGGCAGAGGCAGAGAAGGAGCAGAACTCTGAGGCTGCAAATGCGTATTACACTTGTCATGCCAAAATCTCAGCTCTTTTGTGTGCTGGGGAACACCAGGGTGCATTTGAAAGCTTCCTCTTGCAGCCACGTGGGGCTTGCTGGCCTCAGTCCCTCCCACAGACCACCACGGCATGGGGTCACCACTGGGAACAGGACAGACAGGCTCAGATGAGAGAGGATGCCCCAAAAAACACCTTTTTTGGTTAAATTAGACAACCAGTTTTGTTCCACAGCCTAAGGAGCCATGGCCTCAGACAACTGCCTCATACACTAAAGGGTATTCTTTTGTATAAAAAGCATACTTTTTTCTTGTATGAAAAGTGATACTTTTTAAGAAGGCAAGGAAAACCCAGCAAGTTCTTGCTCTGTTTTAGGCTTTAATAAAGAGGAAAAAAAAAAAAAATCTCTTTTCCAGAACTACCTTTTGCAAGATGCTTCCTGTTATTTTTGACATGCAGAATATTACATCTGCTTAGAAATACTACCCTCATAAAAATAAAACCTCTTGTGCTCACAATGTACAGGCTGACTTACTTCACCCCTATTGTGTGGCTGGAGAACTGATGCCCACAAGCTCAAAGGTGGGGTTCATACATTCTAAGGTCCCAGCACTCCAGCAGCAAAGCAAAGCAAAGCAAAGCAAAGCAGATTAAAGCTGTGCTGGCAAACAGCAACTTCAAGTGAAGGCCTGAGGGGCTGAATTTATGCTAAATAACGTTTGAACTTCGAGAGGGAGAGGTCACTGCAACCCATTCCGTGGCACTGCAGCTACACAGTCCATCTGGGAGCAGCATTTCACAGATGATATTTTCCTAACACAGATGGGGCAGGCACTTCCAGAAAATTCACAGCAAAACTGTGGTTTCCATCAGTTTATCAGCTTCTCTATTTTTAAGACATACGGAGAGGTTGATAAATCTGCATTATGCACAACTGAGATTTCGGTTTTCACTCGAGCTTGGAGGAATGGGGTATTTTTACAATACTGGTTCAAATCTAAAATTAACTCTGTTGGTATCACACTTCTGTGTTCAGCGAATACATACCCATCCCAAGTGTTCCTGGAGTAAAAGTGTGCACGTGCACAAATCAAAGCTTATTTTAATTACAAGCACCCCAATACTCCTGGAAAAAGCAAGTTTCAGCACGGCATCCTTGAGAGAAATGACCAAAATTTGCTTCCTGTTAGTCCCTGTAATTACTCAGGAAGGAAGGTGGAGCAATACAGTGTGAGCTGCCAGCTTACATTTGCTGAAACTCACTCTCACGTTCGCTTTTATTCAAAATGAGCTGGCAAATCAGAAATCAGTCGCTCTGGTAATTCGTTACTAACTCCATGTAACAAATAAATTTGGGCAAAACTGTTGCAATCTGCTCGTAGGGAATCTGAAAGGCTGAAGTGTGTAAGTGAGCAGCTCCCTACTGTTTTCTCCCCCTACCATTTGTGACGGGTGGTGTTTAAGGGAGTGATAAAATTTCTGGGCTTTCTATTTTCGCTGAAAGTCTCTCTGCAGTTTTTTCGCCATTATTCAAGCGGTAGCTGACAGCTCTTTCAGAATTTGATGAAGAAACCCACCCTCAATCCCTGGTGCGCATCGCCGGGGCATCGCCCCGGCGTGTCAGCGTTGACCTCAACAGGTTTTTTAAAGCTTCTGACACGGTGGGTTTTATCCTGCCAAAAAAGAGCCACTGGGTGGAGCTGCGAGTCTGGGAACAGGAACCGTCCTCGTGGGAGCCTGTGCTGCACCCGCTGGGCTTCAGACGTGTTTTAAAGGAATTAAAATCCCTGCCCAGGCAGCGAGGCTGAAGGAGGGGTTGGGAATCTCTGACCAGCCAGGTCTGTCCTCAGCCTGGGCCACTGGACTTCCCTTGGCTTGGCAGGAAGCAGTTTTATCTTCCTGTAGCCAGGGAATCAAAGAGAATGGAGAAATTTATTTTTCCACTCAGAACTCGTTAGAAAAGAATAAAAGTTTGCTCTCTGTGGTTAAAAATAGAGTTGAATCCGGCACCCTGACCCCCGGGAACGCTTGCGCAAGCACAACGCGCCGGTGCCTCCGGTCCCATCCAGAGCCCTGAGCGCGTTCCTTTGTGGGATTTGGAGCTGCTGGAGATATCAGATGGGAGAGTTGTCAAGCCCCAATACTATCCCAGAGATTAATGCCTTACAAGCTCGCCTGCTTTCAGAAACCTCGCTGGGAACCTCATCACGCTTTTGTTCCTGTCCTGCTCATCATCACCTATGGTTCTGATGCTTATCAGGATGCAGATGACATGCAGGATAAGCAGCAGGGATTTTCAAAGGTAGTTAAGTGCAGCATTTTTCAAGCGTATCTGAATTAGTTGGCTGCTCAGCTTTTCTTTTTTCATACCTACCCACCTCCCAAGCTTTGACAAAAGCAAGTAGAGGATTCCCTTTCTCTGTTCGTGGCAGAAATGGGGGGAAAAGTTAGACAGCAAAGCCTCTGTGCTGTTTTCCAAAAAGATGAGTAAGCTTCCTTTGGCTGCCCTGCCTTTTGGCTCCTCCAAGCTAATGCTGCTGCAGACTTCCTGTTAGATCCTTGATTTTATCAGATTATAACTTGTTTTCCCCTGGCAATGCTTTAATTCTTTCTACTGCATTGGGTTGTCATTGGCTTTTCTTTTCAGGGTCTCAGCCCTATTATGTAACAGCAGCAGAAAAAAAAGAAAGAGAGAAAAGAAAAGAAAAAATATTTCAGATCTGTTTCTACTTCTGGAGAGGAGCCTTTGTGCACAATTACTCATCCAAGAGATTCAGCAGGTATAACTGCTTCCCCCAGGGGCTCCATTATATAATTGGATTTCAGCCATACAAATTAAATCCTATCTTACCCCTTAGTTAAGCCAGGCAGTAAGTATTTAATGCTAATATCCCTGACAACTATTGCAGGGAGAAGCAGAGCTGGAGCACAGAGGAGACAGATGCAGGCAATCTCTGCTGCAGGAGCAGGGAGGATGAGCAAGGAGTGCACTGACAGAAAGACACCTGCTGTATTTTAAACATGGCTAAACTTCCCCAGGACAAGCTGGGGTTGTTGCCTGAGCTGGGACGTGCCTCTCCCTCTGCTTTCCGCTCTCCAATATTCCCACGTGAGTGCTGAGCGCTCACCCCCCATCACGCACACTTCAAAGAGCCACAAGCCTAACCCTGTTTGAGTTTCTGTGGAAGTCTCTGTTCTTGTGCAACGTCTGAAGGGAGCAAATTTAGTAATATCACAACTCAAGCCAAAGACAAAACCAAGCAAAGAACCCCCAAATTAAAAAGAGAATCTCAACCCGGTTACTCATTCATCTGCATTTTCTGCCGCGCTCCGTCTTCTCCCGGCGTGTTCCTGTCAGACAAAGCCCTCTGGGCAGAGACCATCTCTTTTGGTGTCTGGTACATCAGTCACAGAGTTAGTGCATAGTAATAAAGGAAAACAGATTCCTGGTAGGAGTTAAACCAGTCAGTCTGGTACCGTAATTGGAACATAATCTCATATTGACAGTGTTTAACACAGGATGTGCAGGGAACAGATGGCAGCAAGCCAGGCCTCCATCGGCCTGCAAGTATCGGGAAGAGATTTTCCAAGTCCAGCTCCTGAACCTCATCTCCGATGTCGGAAGCTTTGCCTCCCCAAACGGGCCTTGAGCCACTCGCTAATCCCGGTTAAAGCCCAACACGCTCCTCCGCTCTCGGCTTTGCAACCAGCGCTCCTGCTGCCAACTGCCCCAGGAGCACTCAGAGAGAGAGCTGGAACAGCATCAGGGCGAAAGCCTCCATAATCCATCAGTCCAAACAGTCCCAAACCTCTGTCTGCATCTGTGAGCCTCTCCCTGGCAGGGGGGACCTGCCTGTGACACCAGGCACGACCTCCCGTGCACCCTCAGGGTCAGGGACACCCCCCTGTGTCACCCTGCTCTGCTTTCCCCTCTGGAGCCTCAGTCCTGCCGTGAGCTCCCCACAAGGTGCTGCCAGGAGTGACTAATTCCCTTCTCCAAGCCCAAAACGCTGAGCTAAAGCAGGTGAAAGGAGAGGAAGCACATTTATTCCCAGGCTCATCCCATGGTACAGATCAGACACAGCTTTCCAAGGGTGTGGAAGACCCATGCCACGCTTCTTAGAGCTGCTACAGAAAGTTTAAATTGATTTTTCTCTGTTTCAGCAATTAATTCCCATTAATCAACTTACTGTACAATGCTGCACTATAATTCACAAGTTTTATGCACTATATGAATAAAATTGCACATATATTTTTATGCGATTTTCATTTAATTGAATTCCAGGGAGATTTATCTGCTGGGTTATTAATAAATCTTAATACGGCCTATAACATTCAATTGATATTTAATTAACCTGCAATAACTGCCTTGTAAAATGTAAATTAAATGTTTTATTTTTTCCAGGCATAGAATGTTAAATCAAATTTTTCGTTCTACCTGTAAAACAAAAAAGAAGGGGGGAAAAAAACAAACCTTAGACCTGAAAATATTTGATGTTTAAAGAGGTTCAAACTGGAAACCAGATCCATGCTTTGTAATCAGTTCCTCTCTCAAGGAAGTACTTTTCCACTGTCTCCCCACCTTTAAAGATCACAGGAATTTGGGTGGATTTAGATGAAACATCAGAATCTCGGGAGGTTTGAAGAGAAGTGAGAGGCACCCATTATTAATAATAAAGTTGTAAATTCCCATAGGTATTGTGGTATTTGGCATTTTTCTGGAAGTCTTGGCTCCTACAGTCACAAATGAGAATGTCAATTTTCATTTGAAAATAAAAAAAAAAAAAAAAAGGAAAGATGTTAAAGCCCTTTGATAGGGGAAGTTTGCAAACCTGAATGTCAAAGGCATGAGAACTGAGAGACAAAAATACATAAAATCTGATCCTTATCTTTAAAAGTATCAGAACTTTTTGAGACACTGGGGCGTTTGAAAACTGGGAGGTGGCAACAAATGATCAAAACAGCCTTTACAAGAAAAGATGAGAACAATCCAAATTATATTTTAAGATCAAACTGCTTTCCTCCCCCTCCCCTGGCAATTTACATAGATCTACATTAAATACTGCAAACTGCAAAAACAACTGGTTCTGATTTCCAAACCAGGATAGCTGGCTGCCTTTGCAAGGTGATGTGAAAACTTCAGGAGAGTGTGACTGGCCAGAATTGATAAGCCTATGAAGTTTTACTGCCATAGCATCGAAACTTAGTATTTTTTTTTTTTTTTGAATGCATGGAGCGGCCAAGTTGTCTTACAATATTCTATTAAATAGGGTATTTCCACCGAAGGACAGTAACCCTCACTGTCTGTAATCTGTCTGCATTAGATCACTTTAAAAGGTATTAAATGAAAATCAGAAGTTAAATGTACCATGGATTTTAAAGGTGTCACGGCATGGAAGAATAAAGATGAAGAGAATG